GCAGTCCCTTTAAATTTTCTTGCAATGATGATTTGGTGGTGATAAACTCCTTTAGCCTTTTTTTGTCTGGAAATCTCTTTATTTCACCATCTATTTTGAATGATAGCCTTGCTGGATAGAGTAGTCTTGGTTTCATATCCTTGTTTTGCATTACCTTGAATACTTCATGCCATTCCCTTCTGGCCTGTAGAGTTTCTGATGAGAAATCAGCTGACAGCCTTATGGGAACTCCCTTTGTAGGTAACAGATTGCCTTTCTATTGTTGCCTTTAATATTTTCTCTTTGTTTTGAATTCTTGGCATTTTAATTATGATGTGTCTGGGCATGGGCCTCTGGATTCTTCTTGCTTGGGACTCTGTGCCTCCTGAACTTGTATAACTTTTTTCCTTGACCAGGCTAGGGAAGTTTTCTGCCATTTTTTCTCTAAACAAGTTCTTGAACCCTTGCTTAGTTTTACCCATTCTGGCACTCCTATGATGTGAATATTGTTATGCTTCATATTGTCCCATAGCTCACTTTGGGGTTTAGACCCCAGAGTCCTCGGTGGGAACCCCTCACATCTGAGACATCCTTCTGGAACTTCAGTTCCTGCCTGTGGGAGCCCAGCCGGCCCTCTTGCGCCTCTTCACTTCCTACCAGTCTCTGTTTTGTCTCCAGTTTTCCTCCTTGGTTATGGGGGTTCTCTCCAGCCAGTCTTCAGTTGCAGTTGATTCTTCAGGGTGGTTTTTCTGTATTTTAGTTGTAATTCCAGTTTGGTTGTACAAGAGTATCAGTAGAGATTCCACTCAATCTGCCACCATCTTGGAATCTCTTCATTTTGATTATTTATTTTTTTGTATTAACATATGTATGCGATATAATGGTAGTTATACTGAGTTATCGAATTTTGGTATTTTTAAACAGTGCTGAATGATTTAATAAGCAAATTTATTTAAAAAGTAAGTTTCGGTTTTTTAGAAAACTGTAAGGAGGTGTAACTTGTTTAGATATTACTCAGCCTTGCAGTAAATATTTCCTCTTCCTAAAGCCAAACAGTTATTAAATGGTAGAGCACACACTAAACTCTCAGTTCCCTGACTCTAGTGAATCATTCTTCTACATCACAGTGCAGTAGTCATTTTATTTTGAACATAATATTCTCACCTTTCTCTTTCCTTTTTATCTTTTTCCTAATACTTGCCTTAGTCTTTCCATTCTCCAGGTTTTAGGGTAAATTTTACCTTCAGGACTAAGCTCTTTTACTTCAATTAGATCTGTTTAAATTTGAACTAGCCACATCCTTCCATTACTGTTAGGACATGAATTCCTGCAAAAGTTCAGTGATGTGTGCTTTTGCAATATGTTTTCTTTTATGGGTTGAAACTTCCATTTAACTCACACTCTTTGGTGTGTTAAGTATGTTTCCTTCCCCATCAACTTGACACTTTTTTTAATCCTCACCCGAGGATATTTTTTTCCATTGCTTTTCAGAGAGAGTGGAAGGGAGAGAGAGAAACATCGATTCAAGAGAAGCACATTGATTGGTTGCTCTCCCGCACACACCCTGAGGCCAAGGATCAAGCCTGCAACTGAGGTACGTGCCCTTGACTGGAATTAAACTTTAGACTCTTCAGTCCACAGGCTGATGCTCTACCACTGAGCAAAACCAGCTAGAGCCAACCTGACTATTTTTAAGTTAAGAATGGTTGTATTGAATCTGCCAAATGCTCTCTTTAGTGTCCTTCATGTAATTTAATCTAGTCTTTTTTCTTCCTCTTATTCCAGTTTGCAAGCCTCCTAACAGTCTTCCTCCTTTTGTGAGGTTACAGTTTCCCTTGCTAGTAGGAGCCTGAAATCCTAGCCTTTAATTTCATTAAGTAAGGTTTGTGAGTAAAAATTCAAATTACTGCCTTTTCCATTTACAGTTGGTTCTTGTTATTTACAGTGGTTGTGTTCTACATAGTTACTACTGAATCATTGGTCCCAGAGGAAACAGGGTTAGGTTCCTGTGAACCTCTGGTCACAACCTTTTTGTCAGCTGATAAATACATAAGCTTTTTTTGTATGTGTTTCTGTTTAAAGTCACCTTGTTTAATGTATGACTAATTAAACTTGAACTCATGGCCAACAGCATTATAACTGGTCTGAAGGAAGTTTAGTTTAAGCGTTTATTTTCTCCAGAAGGCAAATCACAGCCTTTCTCTTAGCACTAAGCTAAGCTGTTTTAAATATTGAAGTCGCCCACAAAAAGGGAAAACTGGAACTAAATAGTGAAAGAGACACTTTGTTTACCTTATGAGAGCTGCAACAAGAAGACAGAGTGTCCCTGTTTTGGACTGCTCAGCTAAGAATTGCTTTGGGCAGGTACAATTTTTTGCTCCTCTGATGTGTGAATGACTGAAGGCACTTCAAGAATTGGTTTTGGGGTCCTGGCTGGTGTGGTTCAGTGGTTAGAACATCAGCCCACACACCGAAGGTTCGAGGCTTGGATTCCCTGTCAAGGGCACAGAGCTGGGTAGCAGGTTCAAACCCCCACCCAGTCAGGGCATGTACAGGAGGCAACCAATCAATGTGTGTCTCACGTCAATCTTTCCCTCTCCTCGCCCTCCCTTTCCCCCTCCCCCCTGCCCCTCCCTTCTGCTCTTTCTAAAAATGGTAAAAATATCCTCGGGTAAGGATTAACATACAAAAAAAAGACTTGGTTTTGGTGTTACAAATGAATTTGAGGGAATAGGTGAATTTCAGAAGATCAACTGTAATTCCTGTTTTCTGAAATGTAAGAATTTAAGAGATTCGATCAAATTTCTTCCTTTTCTTTAATAAATCTTCAAATAGAGGTAGTGATTTTTACTTTTTTGTAGGAACACTACACCTAGTCCCTTCAGTGTAACTCTGATTTTAGGGAACGCTGTTTAGACTCCTCCTGTCTCCTGATATTTAGCAATAATGGGTTCTAGGCACTTTAAAATGAAGTTACTTATCAAGACACGGTTCTTAATCTAGGGCAGGATAATCCCAGCCTTTTTCAAGTCACTGAGCTGTTTAAAATTAAATACAAATTTTAGGGTCCTTATAAATATATACAGTTTTATGGAGAGGTGCATAGATATCATTAGAATCTCAAAAGGCAACTTTGTTGATCGATCTCTCCTAGAAAATGGGGAACCTTAGTTTCTACAAATAGAGATTTATTATTCTCTGCAGTATGTTCCATTCTTTCACTTCTGTAACTGTTGATCTTTTAATTTCTTTGCAAAAATGAGTATATGTTTTGAAATATACTTTTTTCCTACTTTTATTGTGAACATCTTTCCTTATCAGTGCATATAAAACTACTACTTTCTTTTTAATGGCTGCAGAAGATCATTGTCTAAATGAACCGTAATTAAAGTATATCCTATTAATGATCATTTGTGTTCTAATTTTCCCCTACTACCAACAGTATATATCTTGGCATACTTGAACATTATTTTCATAGGATAAATCACTAATTGTGAAATTGTGATGGGGCAAAGGATAGTCAAATTTAAAATTTTAGTGGCTATTATAGGATTGGTTTCAAAATATACTTGTATGTTTCTCATAATGAGTAAGTGTGTACTTCCTGCTTTGCCTTGTCAATTCAGGGTTTTAATCTTATTTTGCTGTTTGGTTATTGTTTAAATTTGTGTTTCTTTCATTACTGAAATGAATATTTCACTTTTTTTATGACTGACCCTTTCTTCTTCCTCCTCCTCCTCTTCTTCCTCTTCCTCTTCTTCTTCCTCTTCCTTCCTCTTTCTTCCTCCTCCTCTTCCTCTTGAAATTTGCAAAGTCCAAAACTCTGGAGAACTTGTCCACTGGAGCCATGGTGTAAAGTGAATTTTCAACTGCCCCTTGATCAGAGATGACAAATGTAAATGGACAGCCTCATACACAGGGCCCAGCAACCTCACACTTCCCTGGTAATCCAGACCCTGGGTTTCAAGGATAAATAGACACCACAGTACCATATCATGGGGAGAAAAAAGTATCTGAATCCTCATAAAGTGCTCTGACTACAAAATTTCCACAAAGTCAACAACCAGTTTTAATTGAACTTAGAAATAGATATGGATATGTTGTCGAAAATAAGTTACATAGGGCTTATCGGATTATAAAAGAAAAATATGCTATCAGTAGAATGTTTGAAAAATACAGAAAGGTTCATAAAAGAGAAAAATATTTTCTACAATTTTTTTATCTGTATATATGTTTATAAAAATTGGGTTCATACTATATATGTAAATATTTTAAAGCTGATTTAAATTTATTTAACATTATTTAGATTGAGATTTCCAGTCACCCTAATTATTTTATAATTTATTTATAATGTATTTTTAAAAATAATTTTGGGGCTGAACATTCACATGTTTCATAGTCAAAAAAATATATAAAACAGTGAAAGTCTCATTCCTGGCCACATGTTTGTTTCATTTTCTCTCAGACTCGATCCTGGGCCATTAAAGAGATTATGGGGAAAGTTCCTAGACTGTAGAAATGATTGGCATCTTATGAAGTGCCAAAGTACAGGTTTAATACTGCATTGAAAGAAATTATTCTGTTCTTAGTCATTGAATCCTATATATCTACTACTGTTTGATTATGTAGTTATGACTTAGTATCTGAAATGTTTCTGGGCAAGTATTTTTACCTGTAATTATACAGTACAGCTTTTAATCACATGATTCTTCCATAGTTGAAGCCACATTAAAGGATAAAGTCTTAACTGTTGCGGTCTTAAAAATAATGATACAATCTAAATATTGATATGTTGCCTTAAATGTGTTTTTTAGTTTGCTAAGTGTAGAGTTTATAACTTAATCATAGTGGTGACTTGTCCTAGGATAGGTAAGGTTTCTACTGTTAACCCTTTTCTCACAATTTTTTGTATAGTAAATTACTACTCATTGGAAAACCTAAATGTTTTTTAATCCAGGGATCGAACCTATAGAGAATACTGTAATCTTTGCCCTGTTGTTTTTATTGTTGTTGTTTTTCAGGAAGAGTAAGAAGCTTAAGCTCATCTTTGTGGTCACTAACTCACCTGACAGCTTTGCATCTGAGTGACAATTTTCTGTCCCGCATTCCGTCAGACATTGCCAAGCTTCACAATCTGGTGTATCTGGACCTGTCCTCGAATAAAATCAGGAGTTTACCGGCAGAACTCGGAAACATGGTATCACTCAGGTATGCGGATTCAACTTAGTACCTAATTGTATATCCCCTAAAACAAAATAGAGTGTTTACTTTGTTAGGAAACAACACTATCAATTTGATGGTATTCGATCAAAGTAAACATAACTATATCCTTTATATATATAAAGTTTTCTTAGAAAATTGAGTGTCAACTAATAAGTAATCAAGTAGATCCATTGCCTAAAATTTGTTCTATTGCTATGTTTTGTATAATATACTTTATTCTTTAATCTAAATTTTTGGACAAATTGGTGGTAAACAAATAGAAGGCACTTGTGTTAATCTCACATTGTGACAGTTGTGCTTTTTCCCCACTAAATTCTGGGCATCATACCATTCTTAACAGGGTCCAGGAAACCATTGCCAATTAGTGGTACCTTTTTGACCATTCTAGGACTTGTACACATGATAGGCATAAAGCCTGGACTTGAGGAAAGCTAGAATTAGTTATTGAATTGGGGGACTGTAGTGTGGAGTGTAGGAGGTAGATGAGATGTGGAGTCGCACAGAGTTCAGATTGGAATCATGACTTTGCCATTTACAACTTGTGTGATTTGGGGCAGGTTTCTTAACCTCACTGAGTGTGGTTCCTCATCTGTAAAGTTGCTGTAATACCTACCCTGCCAAGGCTGAGATTAGAGATATTTGAGATAATTACTAAAAAACAACTGCCTGGCACATAATGTGTTTAATAAATGGAATCATTTTTTTTTTATTGCCTCTGTTTTATAAGGTAGATGAGATCTACCCAAGTTGATTATAAAGCCAATTTCTGGCTTTGTTAATTCCAATGGAAAATCTTGCCCTGTTTCAATTACCTGTAGTTCCACTGGCTTTTTTGCTGCCTTCTACCATTTGCTGTATACTAAGTTTCTTTACCTCTATTGCTGTCCTCTGTCCAGCCTTTTGACATTTTATTGAATATGTGCTATGACCACTTCTCCTGAACCAAATTTACTTGAAGGACCTTTCTCATGTGATATATTTGGAAATAAACAGGAACCAATTAGAACATTTTACTTGTTCATTTTATGACCTCACCAATCTCTGGTTTACTCACTAGCAACAAAGGTTTATTTAAATTTCAAGAACCAAGGACTATAGGAAATTCTCATTCATATATAAAAATTGATAAATAAAACTTCTTGAAGGAAATTGCTAGTATCTCAGTGTTGGGTCTTTGGTGTGTTTTTTGTTTTTAACCTACTGAAGAGTTTTTTGATATTTTATTATGGTTATCTGTACAAAACAAATTATTAAAATCACCATTAGTAGTTAATATGGCTGCCATTAGTAAATTTGGAGAGGTGTTAATCATAAGTTAATTGTGAAGCTATTAACACCTATTACATGATCATTTTCATTCTCTTTTAACAATTCACATATTAGGCTGTTTATTTTACTTTCTTAAACATGTATAGTAGTAGACCCTTCGTGTGCTATACCAGTGTTGCTCTCAGGGTAGTCTGTTAGACTGCCAGTTTGCAAACTAATACACAACATGTGAGAGAGATTTTATATCTGTTGAATATAATACTCTTAAAAAATTGGGGCTTGTATTTTGTTGGTCTTCTCCTCCCCCCCCATTTCAATTTTTTTAGCAACTCATTGTTTCCCTGTATTTTACAAATGTATTGCTTTGTGGAAGTTTAGATTTTTATTTGTGTTTTACTACATATGATTTGAGAAGCACTGTACTAGATGTTGGAATATAAGAAATTTTGTCAATTTTAGGAGCTTATATTCCTAGATATATTGTTGATTTTAGCTGTTAGTTAAAGGTTAATATATCTTCTGACTTCCTGAAATTTTTACATCAACAGGGAACTCCATTTAAATAACAACCTGTTACGAGTTCTACCTTTTGAGCTGGGGAAACTGTTTCAGTTGCAGACTTTAGGCCTAAAAGGTATGACTTCCCATATTTGTGCTTCTTTTGGTTTGTATGTATGTCTTTGAGTCTAAAAAAGCCGTAAGTGGGAATCCTTTTGCCTGGGGATTTGTAGGCTAACTCTTGCCCAAATTTCATCAATTTCTTAGGTACATTGAATGGTTTTCTCTCTTGTCCACCTGTAAACTGTCTACTAGTCTTTGTATTCTCTTTACTCGTAGTCTAGCATTGCTTCTCTAGCTTTTGTTTCAATCGCCTCTGTTATGGTGATGCATTCCTGAGGTTATACTTTACTTATTCATTATGCTGTGAACAACTTTTTATGTACAAATCTCAAAAAATGGGGACTCTCACAAAGTATAGAAAACAATAAGTAGAAAATTTGTACCTGTTAATAAAGTATTTAAAGACCATTTTTTTAAAAACTTGATTTATGAGAACTTCCTTTATATATTAGAATTTGATCCATTAAGAACTATTGAAAATATGGTTTTTTAAGCCAGCAAGATTAAAAGTCACATTTTAATAATATGTCTTCCTTTACACTATGGATACTTTTTTTTTTATAATCTGTACCCGAGGATATGTTTTTTATTGATGAAAGAGAGAAACATTGATTGGTTGCCTCCTGTAGGTGATGCCAACTGGAATCAAAGCCGCAACCTTTTGTTGTATGGGACATACTCCAACCAAATGAGTCACTCAGCCAGGGCGATATGTATACTTTTTCTTCCCTTTTCTTGCCTTATTGCACTGACTTGAACTTCTAGCACTCTGTTGAATGAGCGTTGTGAGAGCAGACATCCCTTCTTTTTCCCAAACTTGGAAAGAAACTGTGTTCACTACTAAGTATAAAGTTAGCAGTAGGTATTTTGTAGATCCTCTTTCTCATTTTAAGGAAGTTACCCTCTATTTCTGAGAGTTTTTAATCATGAATGGTTTCCTTTTGTCAGATACTTAATGTGCATTAGGTGATAGGATCATGTAATTTTTCTTCTTTAGCCTGGTAATTGATATTCAAATGTTGAAGCAATGTTTCCTCATCTTCTCGTTCCTGGAAAAGATTCTGTAGAATTGGAGTTAATTCTTTAAATGTTTGTGGGGTTTTCCAGTGAAACGTTCTGGGCCTGCAGATTTCTTTTCTGGTAGTTTTAAAATTATGAACTTTTTTTTTTAATTGATATAGGGCTATTCAAATTATATGTTGGGTGAATTATGACAATTTGTGTTTTTCAGGGAAGTGCCCGTTTTTTCTGTGCTGATAAATTTATTTATGGAGAGCTGTTCATAGTGTTCTTTTATCCATTTGATTTCTGGATGTCCTCTTTCATTTTTTATATTGGTGAATTTGTCTTCTCCCTTTCCTTGTCAATCTTTGTAGAGGTTTGTCAATTTTCATCTTTTCAAAGAAATGGCTTTAAATTTTTTTTATATCTTTTTCTGTTTTCAGTATCATTGATTTCTGTTCTTTAGTGTTTCCATCCTTTTTGCTTTGGGTTTATTTTGCTCTTTTTCTCTAGGTTATTAGGGTAGAAGTTTGGATTGATGAATTAGGACTTTTTCTCTTCTAATATATGCATTTTTAGTGCTATAAATTTTCCTCTTGGCACTGCTTTAGCTGTGTCCAGACATAAATTTTGATATATTGTATTTTTATTTTCACTAGCTTAATGCATTTTAAAATTTCCCATGGGACTTTCTCTTTGATTCATGGATTATTTAGAAATTTTAAAGTGTTTGCGGATTCTTTTATTGTCTTTTGGTTATTGATTTTTAATGTGATTCTATTGTGGTTAAAGAATACATTCTGTATGACTTCACGTCTTTTAAATTTGTTGAGGTTTGGTTTATAGCCCAGGTGTTTTAAATTTGTTGAAGTTTGGTATATGGTCTATCCTAGTGTTTGTCCCTTGGGCACTAGATAAGAATATTTGTCTCTTATTGGACAGAATGTTCTTTAAATTTTATTTGATCCTATATATTAACCTAGTGTCTGTTAGATTGATGGTGTTGTGGACTATTTTTGTCTAGTTCTATCAATTATTGAGAGAGGGTTAATGAGAACTCCAGTTATAATCGTAGATTTCTCTATTGTCCTTTCAGTTCTATTAGTTTTTGCCTAAAATATTTTGCAGTTCTATTGTTTGGTGAATACACTTCTAGAATTGCTGTGTCTTCTTGGGGTTTGACCTTTTAACATTACTTAATGGCATGCTGTCTCTGGTAGTTTTACTTCCTCTGAAATCCACTTTATTTGGTGTTAATGTAGCCACTTCTGCATTTTTTTATTAATATTTGTATGATTTATATCTTTTTCCATTTTTTTTCCTTTCAATTCACTTACATTATTATATTTGAAAAGTTTCTTGTGGACAGCATATAGTTGGGTCATGTTTTCTCTTTTTTACCTTCTCATGGATTACTTACATCCTTTTACATTTCCATTTTGTTTTGTCTGTAGTAGTGTGTTTGCATTATCTATTTGTGTATCTTTTTAGTGGTTGCTGTAGGTATTGTTTTATATATATACAACTTATTACAGTCTGCTGGTGTTAATATTTTACTAGTTTGAGTGAAGTGTAGAAACCTTCTCTTTATGACCTGTTTTACCACTATTTATGACACAGTTGTCTTATTTTCTCTACATACATTTAGAAACAAATCAAATGTTACAAAAAAAGTTTTAACTACCAAAGATGACTTAGAAAATTTAGAAAGCCCCATACCCTTTTTTAACTATATTCTTTTTCCTTTCTTTCTAATATTTCAAGGTTCCTTCTTTTATCATTTCCTTTCTATTTAGAGAATTTCCATTAGTGGTTCCTTTAGGGTAGGTCTACTGGCAACAGATTCTCTTAGTTTTTTGTCATCTGAGAATGCCTTTATTTTTCCTTCATTCCTAAAGGATATTTTCACTGGGTCTAGGATTCTGGGTCGACAGTTCTTTTTTTCCCCGGCACTTGAAAATTATTGTGCCACTTTTTTCTGGCCACCATAGTTTGTAATGATAAATCAGCTATTATTCAAATTGTTTTTCCCCTACATGTAAGGTGTCTTTTTTCTCAGTCTGTCTTCAAAACTTCTTATTTGTTCTTTAGTTTTCAAAAGTTTATGATGTGGCTTGGTATGGATTCCTTTGGGTTTGCCCTGTTGCAGTGTATTTGGGGAGTTTTCAGCCATCATTTCTTTGAGTACTTTTTTAACTGTGTGCACTTTGTCCTCTGCTTCCATGACTCTGAGAGTTTTTTTCTATTTTTTATTTTAATATTTTCATTTGTTTTTTGTGTTTTGTTGTCAAAATTTTCTTTTTCTTTGTGGAGTCTTTCTACTTTTTCATTTATCTCAGACATATTTGTAATTGCTCACTGAAACATATTTATCATGCTTGCTGTGTTTTGATCAGATTGTTCTAAAGTTTTTGTCATCTCAATGTTGGAATCTTTTATCTGTCTTTTTTCATTCAGTTTGAAATCTTCCTGGTTTTCAGTATAATGAATGATTTTTTCACTTTAAACTGGGCGTATTCATACTGTGTTGTGTTAATTTAAATCTTATAGTTTTGCTGGCTTTCTGTAACACTGCACCAGCAGGGAAACTTCGGGGCACTATCTCCTTACTGCTAAAGGAGGTAGGAGTTCAGATTCCCCTTAGCCTCTCTTGAAGTTCAGCTGGGTGGAGGTATCAATTTTGGCTTTCTATGTGGTTTCCATAGTTACTGCATTGATGTTACTCATTATTGCTGGGTGATGGTAAAAGTCTTGACTATCCTCTGCTTTCTCTGACATCATTCCCAGAAGGGATGTAGAGAGCCGCCTCATTACTGTGGGTTGAGGTGAAATTCGAGGCTCCCGTCCTAGTGTCTACTGACACCACAGAATGGAGGAGGAAGTCTTACTGCCCAGAGAGGATAAAAGTCCTGACTGCCTACTTGGCCTTCTCTGACACTACCCCACTAGGAATGTTGGAGCACCTCTTTACTTTCTCAGAAGGGTAGAAGCCTAGGCTCCCTTATTATTAGCCTTTGACCTGGGTGGAGATAGTGTCATGTATGTTTCTTTGGTGTTTAGCAGAAGCAGAGCTGCTGTTATTTGAAAGTTTTGTCTTGTTAGACTGTTTCTTTTATGTATATGTGTGTGTGTATGCTTATTGATTGATTTCAGAGAGGAAGGGAGGAGAGAGATAGAAACATCAGTGATGAGAGTCATTGATCGGCTGCCTCCTGCGCACCACCTGCTGGGGATCGAACCTCCATCTCCTGATCATAGGTTGATGCTCAACCGCTGAACCATGCCGGCTGGGCTTGTTAGGCTTTTCTTTCCTAGTCCTTTGGCTTTTGTTGGGTTATTTTTTTCTGTGCCCCTTGGTGTTTCCATGTTGTTGGCTTCCTCAGCTCCATGTCTGGGGTATATAAGGCAAAAATGAAACCCAGGGAACTCACCACTACAATGTTCCTTAGGTCCAGGGTCTCTACCATTCTGCCTTCTCACCACATTTCAGAGTCTTATGTTTGTTCGTGCATAAGGTAGAGGAATTTTAGCTGTGCTTAATAGGAGGAATAGGGAAAAGTATGACTCCTTTCCAGAAGTGACTTCTCTTACTTGCGTCAAGATCATGTTTTAATTTCAGAATTCTGTTGTTCTTCTTCTTTACCCTGTGTACATGGGTGGGCAAAAAGTAGGTTTACAGTTGTGAGTATGTGAAATAGTTTATTCTTGTATTATTATTTATTAATTATTGTATTATTTATTTGTATTACAACTGTAACCTACTTTTGCACACCCCTTTATACGGGGTGTCCAAAAAATGTATACACACTTTGAATAATTATAAAGGCAGTGTTTATAAAAATACATTTCATTTTCAAAATGTAATAGAATGTACATTGTGTATACGTTTTTTTGGGACACCCTGTATTATTTTTCCAGGCAATGAAGAGCATATTAATTTTACATTTAAAGGAATTCCAAAAAGCAAGCAGACATTGGGGGAAATATGCCATTTGGTTTCATCTGCATTAGTCATATATAGATAACTCATGGTGTTTGGGGATGGTTTTTAATTTATAAAGAAAGATCTTAGAAGTTTTAAGTAGTCAGTGGTCTTTAAATATTTTTGCACTAGAAAGTAGTAAAAAGATAACATTATTCTTGGTGTAGTTAGAATGAGATGCTTACCTGATACTGAGAAGTTTTTAGTTGACTCCATTTTCTCAAGCTATCTTTAATAAGTGGTTCTGGTAACTCTCAGGTAAAGATTGTACCTGTCTCAGGATTCTGACTAAATAAAAATTTCAGGGGTTTGCTAACTATCAAGAACCGTACACATATGAGCTAATGATACTGTTGTAACGTGTCTTCGTTGCAAGACATACTCTGCTCTCATAGGAGCTCATTTTTACCTTTGTAATTCTTAGAATCCTAGAATCTTAAAATTATTAAGAGATCTTTGTGTAAACTAACGTAGCTGTTCTTCTTACCCATGTAAGTCAGCTGTTACAAAGGATACTCTACTACCTCACAGAGCAAGGCATTTCATCTTAAATAGTTCTAATGTTTACCAACCTCCTCTATTCTGAGCTGGCTTTCCTATTAGATCCTATCCCTTGGTCCTCAAGTTGCCATTTGAATCTAGTCTTTCATAAGAGAATAGGGGGAAAAAACCCTTTTTTTCTCTGGGCTGTGATCATTCTTGTATTCCATATCTTTTTTTCTTTTTCATTCAGCATGGTTAAGATCTTTTCTCATTTTAGCTGCCTTCTTCAATCCGTAGAACTTATTAGTCTTTAAGTGGAACTGTGGCATCCAGAACAATACACACCATTTGTGTGGTGTGGATAGGAGCTGTTGAAAACAGTATAATCTCGCCCGGCCAACATGGCTCAATGGTTGAGCATCAACCTAGGATCCACGAGATTGCAGTTCGATTCCTGGTCAGGGCACATGCCCGGGTTACGAGCTTGATCCCCAGTAGGGAGCGTGCAGGAGGCAGCTGATCAATGACTCATTGATGTTTCTCTCTCTCTCTCTCCCCCTTGCTCTCTCTGAAATCAATAAAGACATACTTAAAAATAATTAAAAAATAAAACAGTACAATTTCATATGTGCCTAAGAAGTACTTCTGAGAGGATTGAGACTCTTATAGATGTAAATCATTGCTTTTGTTTTCATTTTTGGCACTTAAGAAACAGTTACTGAATTTATAGATAGCCCACAGCCTGGTGGTTTTTCCCCTTCTTTGATGACAATCTTAAAACAAGTCTGCCCCATCTTGTTATTTTATTCAGTAGAATTTTTAAAAATCTAGAGGCTAGACTAATTTGTTATTTAGGAAGTTTTCTTGTTAGCTTTGTTGTATTCTTAAATTTAAATTCTCTGATTTATTGACTATTATTTTCTCTTGCCCAGTCCTTCTCCCCACTCATCCCCAATCCATTTTCACTTGCTTCAGCTCAGTATGAAAGTGTTGATGAGGCCTGGCACTATGAGATATCTTCTATATTGGCATCATCCATTAATAATCAATTTTGGATACCTCTGTAGAACATCGTATAAATCATTTTTACTCTTCACGTCAAAACTGAAAAATATTTTCTCTAGTTTCGTATGTTACTAGTAACTGTAACTATATACATTGTTATAGATCATCTGATAATTTAGGTATACTTTTCAACTTTGAAATATTTTAGTACTTGTCTTGATTTTATTTTACCTATTTTAAAAATATTTCCAGGAAATCCACTTACCCAGGATATACTGAACCTCTATCTGGAACCAGATGGAACAAAAAGGCTACTTAACTATTTGCTTGATAATTTGGCAGGTACTGCAAAAAGAAGTAAGTGGTCATTTGTTTAAACCGTTTTTTTTAGGAAGATGTGTAAGAATATTGCTTAATTTTGTGTTTAATATTCAACTAGTTTCAACAGAACAACCACCTCCAAGATCTTGGATTATGTTACAAGAACCAGACCGAACAAGGCCAACTGGTTGGTAGCCTTATTTTTTAACTCTTATTTTTATTTGGTATTTATAAACCTAACAGTATTGTTGGCATGCTTTAGATTATGGGTAGTGTTACAGTAGAATGCTTATAGTTGATCTGGTTTGGGAGTTAATAATAAAGACTTAATTCTTGCTCACCTGGCCTCTCTACTATGCTGTAGAAAGTGTGCTATAAAACAGTGCTGCTCAACCAGAGGTGATTTTATCCCCCAGGGGACATTTGGCAATATCTGGAAGCATTTTTTTATTGTCACAACTGGGGAAGTGCTACTGGCATCTCAGAGATGCTACTAAGCATCCTACCATGCACAGCGCAGTCCCCACAATGCAGAATTTACCCACGACGTCAGTAGTGCTACTGTTAAACACCCTGCTGACCACTCTCGGGTGTACACATTTTCATATCCGAACGTTGCTGACCAGTTACGAGATAACTCGTGTCTGCACTTACATTAATTTAAGTAATTTTTAAAAATCTTTATTGGTTTCAGAGAGAAAGGGAGAGGGAGAGAGAAACATCAATAATGAGAGTCATTGATCGACTGCCTCCTGCACTCCCCCTACTGGGGATGGAGCCCACAACCTGGGCATGTGCCTCACCGGGAATCAAACCATGATCTCATGGATCATAGGCCAGTGCTCAACCACTGAGCCACGCTGGCTAGGCTAAGTAATTTTAAACACGTTGCTCACCAAAGTAGCTGGCCACAGGGGCGAGTTCTGGTTCAAAATAGCCAGTCAGCAAGGTGTTAAGAAATCCTACTATAAAGTATTGATCAAATTCAGTTATAATAAATATACAAAAATATTTTTATATTGGAAGTTTCTAAACCCTAGTATGTTCCAAATGTATTTGATTCTACAAAATTGTAAGGCAGCCAAAATACTTACTTGAAAGAGAAATTGAACTAATGACTTCTAATCTCCTTTTAACTTAAATTGTATGAAAATAGTTTGGAAACTTGTGTAGTAGGTGTAACAAGATTTGGTCTACAATAACCCTTTCCTTTGTGTGGATAAATAATCATTGCTCTATAGAAGAAAACTAGATGTGTCTGTTAAGGAAAATACCTGTCAAATTTCCACATTGTACATTAACAGTTGATGAAGTGGTGGAATGAGCACAGAAATGAGGAGCCCTGATCTTAGATACCAAAGGCTCAAAATCTTAGTATTAGCTCCCAAACCTTTTGTGCATACCTCTGTGGCAAGTAACACATCGTTTCATAATTTGTTCATGTATCTGTCCTTCCTCATTATTCGAATTTATTTATATCCACTGTGTCTGGCATATAGTGCCTTGTCAGTGAATATATTGAATGAATAAAAGCAAACTTAGCATTTAAGTGAAGGCTATTGAAAACAGTTGTGTTCTTTTTTTCTGCCACATGTTGAATAAGTAAAGTTATCTTTCCTACAGCCTTGTTTTCTGTCATGTGCTATAACGTTCTTTGTGATAAATATGCGACCCGGCAGTTATATGGCTACTGCCCATCATGGGCACTAAATTGGGATTACAGGAAAAAGGCCATTATTCAAGAAATCTTGAGCTGCAATGCTGACATCATAAGTCTTCAGGTAAGTCATCAGAAGAGTATTTGTTTAAATTGCACAAATGCCCCAATATTAACACATTGTTTGCGGGTAGTTTTTATCGCTCACTCTACTACCAGTCAACGTAAAACGTATAAATACGTTTCCCGCATACAGTGTGTTTTAATAAAGCAAGGAGCAACCTGGGAATGCGTTATACTGACACATTTGAAGTCCCACCTTTAGCAATTCTTTATATAGTGCCTTTTTTTGTTTTTAGTGAATCCTGGGAGAGTTCACTGCCTGCTTTATTCTGCAGCACTGTGCTGCCAAATTAAGCAAATGGGTTAAGCTGGGTTTTAAGGATTAGCTCTAACAGCTTAAATACCCACTTTCCCTTTGTAAACCCCCCCCCCCC